GGTCAGGGCGGCTAGGATCTGGAACCAACTTCCAAGAGAAGTGGTGCTGGCTCCTACCCTGGGGGTCTTTAAGACGAGGCTGGATGTACACCTTGCCGGGGTCATTTGACCCCAGTACTCTTTCCTGCCATGGCAGGGGGTCAGACTTGATGATCTGCTCAGGTCTCTTCTGACCCTACAAACTATGAAACTATGTGTTTTGATTCTAAAGTTCATCATTGCTAGCAAAAGTGATTAATTACAATCTTTAGAATCTTTTGATTGCCACTTTAAGCAGAGTTTTAAATAAAAGATTCATTGACATCTTAGGGGAAGGAGGTAATGCTTTATACAGTATTAATTTATTCTTTTCTTTTGTTTCAAAAGATATAAAAATAGGCAGAGTTAAAGTATTGCAAATAAAGTCTGGATTTAAATTGCATCTAATTAGTGTTGTAGAACTGGCAGAATGCTATATGCCAGTCTTGGAAAAACAAGGTATACAGATATTGTTATTTGTAGACAAAGTGAACATGCAGCATCAAGTGATCTGTATGCAGCATTAAGTGATTTTCCTGAATTTTACTACTGTAAATCAGTGTTACAGCACTGATAAATGTGTGCTGATGTGTAGGACATATAGGATAAAAATAAAGTCTGTGCCTACAGAAGCAAGAACTTGTTTCAAAATCTGCAAATAAATAAATAAACAATCCATTTTTTATCAAATGTTTATGCAAAGATAAATAATTTTGATACACTAAATTTGTCCATTCAGTTTACAGTAATGAGCTAAGATACAATGTATGAAGGACTAAAACAAAAATGTGGTTAACTACAAACAAATCTTTAAAACTGACACATACTGTAGAGATTTCCCCATATAAACTTAAACTGCATTGTTCATTTCATCATTCACTTGTAGCTGAGTTACTCCTCTTAGCAAAATAAACACATACTCTTTCTTTATTTAGCATGGCATGTTGTCTTACGGAATTAATAATCAAACATTACATATAAAAATGATCTGAAGAGTTGCCTCAAGGGGGAGCTTACAGTTCATCTTGCTGATCCTTTGCATTTCAAGCCATTCCAAGCTAATGTTCTGAGATGACACTGCAATACAGCCTGACTGTAAAATGTTAGTTTTTGCTTCATTTTCAGTCATTAAATCTTTATACCTCCATGCTACTGTCCTTCCTGGTGTTCTTTGAAATCCATAGTGTGGACTGGTTTGGACTGGTTTTTGTTCTTCCTTTACTGAAAAATAAAAATGTAAACTATTTTCAGCAAATTTGATCCTTCCATGGCCCAAATCCAGGATGTAGTAGGGTATGGGGCTTTCAGACATACACCTATCCATTAATTCAGATCGTCTTTGTTGCTGATGGAGTGTAGTGAGGAACGACTGTAACAGAAAAGTCCTTATTAGGGCTAGTATAACATTTTTTATCAAAACTGTTTTTTCATGGATAGTTGTATTTTTGACAATACAAAGTTATTTAAAGGGGATTGCTCCTGAAGAATTTTTTTTTCCATCAAGAAAATGGAGGCTCCAAACTAATACTTTGATTCTGTAATGTTACTGCATTGCCGCACGGGAACTGCAGTTTGGGTAAATCATGCTCCCATTTTCTTTTATGGACTGGACTTTCTTATATTCTGGTTAGGGATCTTCTAATGATTAGGGATTTCCAACATACATGGTAGCTATGCTACCCTTCCCTCACCCAACTAGTCAATGTTTTCCAACCAGGAATCAAAGTGCAGAGAGGAGGATGGGGGCAAACTACAGTCTCCTGTGCCACCATAGCAGCATTCCAGAATCAAAAAGTTTTGATTGTAACAATAAATAGTTTCTTTTTTGTCATTTTCCCAATGTTTTTCTTTGAAATTGCCTGTGGAGGGGGATATATTTTTCTAACCAGCTCTGGCCCTAAAGCCTAATGTTGTGTAAGTTAGAACTGTTAGTCTGCTTTATACTAACTTTGACTCACTCACCAATCTGTAAGTGAAAAGGAATCTAAGCTGACTTCTTATAAACCTTAAGATACCCAGAAGCACATGGAATTGGCACACATTTGGACTCCCTCCAGACTCTTTGAACTTACCTCTGAAGTCCTGCAAGGTAATGAAAAATGGGCCTGATCCAGAGAACACTGAGCCATTTAAAAGACTGACAGATTTAAATGGTCTTTGGATCAAGCCCCAGATCTACCAAATGAGCCACTGGATCAAAGAAGAACCGTGTCTTGTAGAAGAACTGCATGTGGTTCATTATTACCTTTTCCCAGTTCTACACTCATGAATCAGGCCCATTTTCTGCATTTATGTCTGAGGTGCCTTGAGTGAACAATCATTTAACCAATATCAAAAAAATCACGTATGTTTTAAAACAAGACTAAGTACCAAGAATCAGATCCTCAGTGGTGGTAAGCACCACATCTTCAGTTATGCTATGGTGATTTTTACCAGCTGAAGTTCTGGCTCTGGAAAGATAGGCAAGTAAAATGGCAATAAATATTTTGAGGACATTGTGTTTTATTGTTTTTTGACTGTGAAATACAATCATAGAAACTAAGAAATATACCAGGTTGGAATTTAAACTTTCTGCAAGACATTCAGATGATAATGGAGATGGGTCTTTGAAGCAGTTTCTCCTTGCTCCCCTGGAAGAAAGGAAAGGGAGAGCATCTAAGCATGAATGAGCTGACTGTTGCTACTAATTGCAGGGGACCTGCTTTGCTTCACTTCACTACTACCTTTTAACACACTAAGCTAGCCAAAACTGTGTGCAACTTCCTAGACTTTCCAAAGGGCTCTGCTTGCCCTTTGTTTGTAGCTCCACAGCAAACTAACTTTTCAGAGGAAAAATCCCCGTCATGAATACAGATTCGTTTACACTTATTTTTCACCTCTATTTCCAGTTCCTTGAGCTTTGCCCTTTCAGAATCCTGGAAAATGAAAATTCCTTTTCATGGATGAATTACAAGACCCTGCCTTAGACCCACTGAAGTCAGTGTGACACTTTCCATTGACATCAATGAGCTTATGGATCCTGTTCTTGCTTTTTTGAATGGAATAGCTATAATCACTGCTTTCAGTTCAGACAGCCCTTTGGTTGTTTGGGATTGTGAAAGCACCATCAAAGAACCACGTTAGGAAGCACTGGAATGAAGGATACCTTGACTGCTCACATGAGTATCCCTCCAAACAAATGTAATATAGCTGCCATACAGGACACAGGCCAGCAAATGATCTTAAGTCAGCACATTTATTCAAATGTACCCAGTGTCACACTAAGGCAGCTACCTGACATCCATTTCAGGGCACAGAAGGAACAGGCCCAGTGAGGCTTGCATTGCTGTGGCTGTCCTTTGATCATATAAACATGCCCTTGGATTGCCTGCCCATGCTCATATTTTCTTTTTTTTACTAAGTGCCTAAATATACTAAACACAAAGTGCCACAATACTTAACAGAAGTCTAGTATCCTATTGCTTGTCTCCTAATGCCTACTCAAAAATGCTGATAGAGCTGGTCAGAAATGTTTTTGTCATAACAGTGTGCCATCAGGAAACAGAGTTTTAATTAGACCAAATAATTTTAGCAAAATGTATCAATTTTGAAAAAACCCCTACAAAAACAAATTTTCCCAAAATGAAAACCTTTTTGAAAAGTTTATAAAAAACAGTTTATAAAAAATGCAAAACTTCATTTTAAAATTATAGTTCCATTAATTGTTATTTTTTAATTTTTGTAATACTTATAACATTTTTCATTATTTACTGATGTGTCAGTAGAAGTAAAAATGCATAGTTTAACATCTCATATCATGCATAATGGCAGGTAAAAAATATACTTTTTGTTTTAAAAAGTGTGCAATTGTTATTTGGTATGCATTGAAACATTTGGTACATATTGAAACACATCGAAACTATTTTCTGTATCAAAACATATCCAGTTTCTATTTGAAACTACTAGTATGAAAAAGTTTGTCACTGCAATAAAAAATGGTACATTATAATGTGCATCTCCTATGGACCCAGTACTGAGCTCTGGGACACAGTAATGATTTTGACAAAAAGCTAACCCTGGCAGTACCCTCACTAAAGAGCTATCAAGATCCATAGAAACCATCCTGATACTACTCGTCAATCAAAATGCAGGAAATTCAGCAGAGTAATGTGCCTTAAATGACTTGGAGCACGCAAACTAAAACTCCTCTAAGGAGTTTTAGTTTGCTGGCCCTACAGCTGCAGAGTGAAGCACCGGGCTCCCAGCAGCTTGGTGGCTCTGCAGGAAGCCCTGCAGCAGCCCGGGAAGGCAGGTTCCACCCAAAAAAAGTGACAAGCCTGATCTTCCCCCTGCCTGGAACTTGCCTGCATGCATGAGCTGCGCAGGGGCCAGTGCTTCCCTCCACAGCTGCAGAGCCCTCCAGGACCACCTGAGGTGGGTGCCTGGGGGAGGGGGACCACTGCTGCTGCAATGGAGGGAAGCACCAGGCCTCCCCGCAGCCCAAGGACCGCCCTGTCCCGCCCACCACCAGCTCTCCCTCCCCCCTCTGCTGCCAGAGAGGCAGGTAAGTCAGTGTGTGTGCGACGCGGGGTTTAAAGGGCCCTAAACTGAAGTGGTGTTTTTAAAAAACACTACTTCAATTTAGGGCCCCTGTTTCATTTACACACACCAAGTACTCCACAGTAACCTGATACAATACAAACAGAACCCCACCCTAGGGGACTGCACACTTCTAGTGGTCACCTACCATTCCACACTTGGATCATTACGAAGAATCATCAAACAATTATAGCCTATACTCAAGAAAGATCAGACTTTCAGGGACATATTCTCAGGCTTTCCTCTCCCCCGCCGCTCCCTTTCTTCTTCCCACTCCCCCTGCTCCCCATTCTCTTCCGCTCCCCACTCCTAGCTTTCAAACAATCCCCTAACCTTGCCCAACACATCAGAAACAAGCTCCTTACTGGTCAACAGACACAAAATGGGATGCAGCCTTGCCTTAATAATAAGGGCAAAACCTGTCTACAGACTTCCATTGCTACAACAATCAGCTCCCTGCACGATGAACCCATCAGAATCCAAGAATCCTATACATCCCTATCCCGAAATGCCATACATCTCGTCCAGTGTACCAAACTCCCTCATGGAAACGATGTGGGTGAAGCTAGATTGAAACTATGTACCAAAATGAAATATAACAGGAGAATAATTAAGGACAGAGACACACAAGCATGCAAGAGAACACTTTTCATAGAACAGCCAGTCACTTTCTTAACCTCACTATTCTTGTGCTCAAAGGAAATTTAAAAAAACACATTCAAAAGCTGGGCAAAAATTCATAAGCTGTCTACACAATAAGAACTAAACACTGAATTCAGATATTGACTTAATGGCTCACTATAATCTACATTATTCCAGCAATTCTTTCTTCATACCACAGGTGATAACAATCCTCTTCTCTTTTGAACAGACTTGACCATTTACTAATCAAGCTATCTTTTCTTGTCTCCTAGCTACTCATGGGTATTTCTCGTGGGACTCCTTAAGCATGTTCCATGTCAGTGAAGTCCCCATCGCTACTCCCTAAAGCACAACTACTATATAGATGGGCATAAGGAAGGTGAAAGGGCTGACTAAGTCAACATGCTGCAGTGGCAAGAAAGAAGTCTCCCACTTAGAAGCAGCAGAATTCACCATTGTAGTATAATTTAAAGGATCTGCCAATCTATACTAGGACAGAGCTTTCCCACAGCTGAAAAGCCATGGACATGACTATGTAGCTAACTGAGATGTGTGCAAATTGCTTGGGTTTTATGGGATGACATGATTGCACATTTTGAGGGGGAAGAGGCAGGGATGTAAGTGTTCAATGGAAATAGCTTGCTAATGGAACATGAATTCAACAGAAAATACTGTTTTATACCAGTGATTTTACCTTTTATGTAGCATCTGGAAACAGCAAGTCCCAAAAGCCACTAATATCAATAGCAGCAGTGGTATAGTTGGTATAACAACATAAATTAGATTTGGAATTAAACCTAAAAGGAAAAAAAATGTATTTAATTAATGCTTACTGTATTGAAATATGCTATCTCCTCACATTAAAAGAGTTTGGGTAAAAAACCCCCTACAAATAGTTCATCTCAATCAAAAGAATATGCACATATACATGGTCCAATCTTACACTCTTTTACAGAAACACCTCTTATTAATTTTAAAAAAAGTTCAGAATGTACCATGAATGTAAGAATAAGCCCCCCAATACTGTTTGAAAAATGTCAAAATATACTAATAATATAGTTGCCCTTGTGTATCAAGTCATAATGACTTCTAACTGTTTGTTTTGTGACCAAAAATAAAACTAGTTAACAGCAAGTTTCACTAACCACTTTGCTTACAATGAAGATAAAGTACATACTAACCGAACACTATGGGTTAGATTGTCACATAAAGGCTAACCTATAGCCTTCTGACTTCTTTCTCAGTCATGAAGGTTGTAAGAGCATAAGTCTCTTTGGGTGCATACAAGCATTACATTTATAGTGGTTTAATTGTTTCTAGTCTGATAGAAACATTTGGTATACAAGCATTCACAACGCAATCTGGTCTAAAAATTGCTGGTGCGGTGTAAAGATAGACCGCATCTGATGAGGTCAAACTCTAGGCTAATATGGGTTAAACATGTTTAATGAACATGTGTACTGACAGAAGTTCCATAACTGTCCTCTAGCATCCCAGCCTGCATCACCCTACCCCACCCTCCCCTCCAAAGACATGCTGTGACTTGGCCAGACTCAAGTGCCCACTCCCCAGACTGCATTCCCCATGTTTCTTTTCTGCTTTTCTTGCTGCCCCCATCCCCTCTAGGATCAGTGTGTGAGGGGAGCAAGGGTAATGTTCTTGGTCTGGGGAACAGGTTAGGAGCTCTTACCCCCAGGGGGGAGCAGCAGGTGCCAGTTTTTACGTGATGCACATGGAGGAAAATCTCCCTGTGACAGGCTGTAGCAGATTGCAGGGCCAGAGGTTCCAGCCTAGCTGCAAGTGGTAAGGCTAACTGCAGGCTGCTCAGGAGGACTGGGCCAGCTAAGGGAGATAATTAGTGGTCAGGTCACAGGAGGTAAAAGGTTCCAGCAGGGCACGAGGGGGAGTGAAACCAGGGAGTCAGACAGAAAGTGAGCAAGAGTAACCTGGTCTGCCAGATCAAGGACTTTCAGGGCCTGAGAAGAGACCCAGGGGATGCAAGACTGGGAACATAGGTCACAACCTCAGAGGGAAGACTTCAGCAAGGAAGGAGCAGCAGTAAACCAGAGACACCTTCTCAGGGGCTGAAGAAGACTCAGACCTGTGAGCTACCCCTTAATGGACTGTGTTTAGGTTGAATGTTGAGAACTAACTGATATAGAAGGGTGCTTGTGTGACTGGCGTGCCCTGGGAATATGGACTGTACCGTGTTTGAGCTAGCAAAAGCCCCGAAACCTACTACACTCCCCACCCCCTGTCCCTCAGGGCTTGAGAGCCCTGATCTCCAGCAATGGCAGCAAGACTTCCCATGACAACAGCCCCAGCAGCTCCATAGGCAAAAAACCTCTGGCTGTGGTGGCAGGGGCACAACCTCAGGCTTGTTAGGGGCAAAGCCGCCCTACCACAGCCAGAGTCCCAGCTGCAAAGACTGCAGTCTGACAGGCTGATAGCTGTGAGAAGGCAGCTGTGGTTCCTTGTGGCCACCAGCCATTCATCAGCCCTGACCTGTTATCTCCACATTTTCACTTCCAGGCAGACTATATAGCTTGCAAAGCATTGTAGGATGCATGCTCTGAGTCCCTGCAGTTTGTCTGTAGAGCAGGCAACCAGCTGATGAGCTCTTGCACAACCAAAAACTGGTAAGGTTTTCAACTTCTTTATCTAAATTGTTTTAACTTCTGTTGGTTTATTTGAATGCTTGTATGCATCCTCAAGTGCCACACCTCTCTGGTCCCTTTCACAGCCTTTCTTGCACTATCACAGGTTAAGGTGTGTGGAGAGCAAGGACTACTTACCTGACACTGCCTGCAAAGAAAGAAAGGGTGGTAATGCAGGAGTCTTCAATTCTTCCCCACTACTCATTGGTCAGAAAAGCTGATGGGTCCATCTCCTATGAGAAGTATTCTGAACAGATCCTATACTTCTGCAACATTTCTACTGTAGACCTATTTTATATTGGCATAGCTGTGCTTTGTATCAGTATAGCAAAACTACTTCCCACTGTAGCAGAACTACCTCCCATGAGAAGCTCTGTTTACTGGTATAACTACATGTACAATCTGGCCGCTGCCAGCACAGCTGTCAGTTTGATCGCTTCTCGTAACTCTATTAACTTACATAGCTCTGTTGGCAGAAGAATACACTGTAGACTTGACCTAAGTCTGTTCACTGCAGAGATATAAGAGAATACTGGAGTGCCCTGGGCAGCACACAGGGCAGTGTCAGCCTCTGGGCTGCCAGCACTGCAGCTGTTGCTTTTTCTTGCTCTTGCTCTTGCTCTTGCTCAAGGCCAGGCCACATGTCATGGATTTTCCTCCTTCATTATGCTCCCTCATTATGCAAAACTGTGTTACTCCCTACTTAAGATAGACTATAGTGTTACAGTCTCTCCCTAGTGCATTTGAACAAAATACTTCATAAGTGGGTCTTCCCTCTTTGCTATATGTGCATAGCAAGAAAGGTGAAACCTTAAAAACCAAAATGCTTTTTATGATCTTAAAACAAAGGGGTATTTGGGTTCAGTAAGCAACTATTTTGAGTATAATGCAGCAATTGTCCTTTACACCTGCATTAATATACTACCATACACTTAGTGTAGTTATAAACTGACCTCTAGATAGCTACAAGCAGTCATCATTGCACTGCTTTGTGTAATGGGACTGGCTTTCAATTTGAGTTGAGAAAACTGGAATAATTTTTTTCAATTCCTTGTTGTTTTTGTTAGCACATGCAATATAAGGACCTGTAGTTCTCTAAATTTAATGTGGATGTTAAATCTTAATGTGGATACTATGCTTTTCATGAATTAAGGGTTTTTTAAAGTATGTTTTCACTTAAAGAACAAATGTAACTATTTGTATTAATTATAACTTGACTTTCATATATTGTAGCACAAGTGCTAACAGGAGACTTTTTGCATGTTATGATTTTTAACAAGTAGCAACATAACTTTACTATTTCAGTATAGAAGTCTCAGCGTATTTATTTATCTGAGGCTACTTCTAGATAATGTTGCTAATAGGAGCCATTTGTTTACATGTATGGATATGGGTGTACTGAAGCATCCTTATACTCCTTGCTTGTCTCTGATTTTTTTTTTTTTTCAGTACTAGTTTTCTGCTACTCAATCATATTAGCATTTGTTTATATATTTCAAAAGAAGCACAGAAAGTGTAACATTTTAAAAGTAAAAAGTTGCTCTTAAATGACAACTACAAGGTTTTTCTGACCCATATAAAAGTTGCCTCTGAAATGGAATATGTGGTGGCCTTCACATCTAGGAAACTGGTTCAAATCCAGTCACGGAGGACACTAACTGAAAGTTATTACCATCTCTTCAGCTATCCAATTTTCTAATGGCCAAAATGCTGCAACATGATCAGCTGTTTTTTGTTAGATCTGAAGTGCCTTCAATGCCTACTGAAGTCAATGAGAAGTCAGAATCTTTCAACAACTGATTGAAACCATGCAGAAAATTGGAGAATAAATTAAATGAGATAGGGGACGCAGCAAGCAGATCTTCCAATCTCAAAAACAAGCGCTGGCACTTTGCTGGGCAGTCCTAGGTCCTGTTCACCCCCAAAAAATCTATTTGGATTGGGTCTGGGTCATGTGAAGTTTGCTGCATTAGTGTGGCCATTCTGCAGAAAACAGATCATTTAATTTCCCCCAAATTATCTAATCTGGCACCTTTCCTAAGCACGAATATGCTGTTATTAAAAGAGAATACATGTGCATTAGAACCTGTATGTCTAATTCTAACTTCCAGTGCCTGCTGATTAATATTGTAGCTCAAACTTTAAAGCCATATAAACTACCTGTTTCAGTAACAACAACATGATAGTGATCTTCTGGTTTGCTTGCATCGGAAGGGCTTCCTGATGTCACTGGTGGAAAAACCTCTGAAAAAATGAGTTAAATGTTTTAGACAAATGGTAACAGTACAAAGTGGTGGTGTTCTATGAAACCCACATTTGTGGCACTTTTACAATAGTTCAGATTTGATAATTAACTGGTTTGGAGAGTAAATAAATTGTTAGCAATGATTTGATTATGGTTTCTTACTGTAATATTGGGACTGCATCTGAAATACGAATTATAAGCAGCAGCATTTTTTTTATTTATATCAATACATTTGCAACTACACTTACAAATATTTCTCTCTTCAGAATTCTTTGTTCATGTCCCAGGGGTAACAAAACTCTGTTCATTTCATATATGTAACTTTCTGGAACTTGTAAAGAAACTCTAAGGGCATTGCTGCGCACTAATTTTAGGCAGCTCCTGGAGGTCTTAACCCCTGGATTGTCTGCACATTAACACCTGAAACTACTTTTAAGCACACTCTGATCTGTGTTACCCAGTTAGTGCTCCATTAATATGAGGCAACTCTCCACAGATGAGCCACCCAAGTTACAGTCCTCCAGAATTCCAGGATGTCTCTCCCCTCCCCCACCACAACCTGTTTTGTGTAAGCAAATTTTTCCACCCCTCCCCCAGAACTCTACTGTCCAGGGGGGCACTTCTAGCACTAGGACAACTCCCCCTTCCCCATCCAAACAGCCTGCAGAACGCCTGCCAACTAGCCAGATTGCAGGACATGGACAGGTCCAGAGTGGAATCTAAGGTGGGGGGTGGGGAGGTGGGAACAGAGTAGGGGACTGGATCAGGTCCTCATAAACTGGGGCCTCCTTCCCAAGGCAGGGGCAGTAGCTTTCTCAAAAGCACCATCCTTTACCACTTCCCACCTCCCGACCATCCTAGGATGTACAACCAGCACCCTACATACCTCAGTACTAATCCCAATTTATTAAAACATGAAACCTTCTTTAATTTACTTTTTCTTTATTTTTTTTAAACTGTTTTTATTTTATTCTTCAATGGCTTTCTCCATTTCACCACCATTCCCCCACCCCCACTTCCTTTCCACCTCCCATTTTGTTACCACCTCTCAGCTTCATGTTTCTACCCTCTACCTTCCAACCCATCCCTTGCACCTCCACCTAGAGCAGTGATAGAAGCCTGTCCTGGCTCACCAGCCCCCTAGTGGCAAGTTACAGCTGTGCAGGTGGGGGGAAGTCAGAGAAGGTTATTAACATTAAGGTGCAACTGCTCTAAACTCAAGCTAGTGCTAACACCAATCAACATTTGAGTAGCTCAAAGTGTAATGTGTAAGAATGCCCTAAGATTATACCTCTACCATTGCAAAATTTGAAAGTTTCTTACCATAATCTGGTTCTGCTCTGTCTCCTAATTCTTTCTCTAGGACATAATCTGTTAAATCAATAGTTTAACAATAAAAGAGAGAAAATGATCAAACAGATTTTTGGTATGATTTTGTAGGTAGTACCATAGAATAGCATATATACCCATGGTAATTAAAAAAACAAACAAACAAGTTATTGCAGACTCCTTCCATCTGATATCTATATTTGATAAGCACTCTTTTCTAGTGATCTTTGACTATTAAAGTTAGTATCACTCTACTTCTAGTTTTCTATTAAATGTAGATAGACAGCAGCATTGTAGCCTAGCCCTCAACCAACTTTTTCTGGTGGAATTTGGTAGTTTACTGTATGGAACTGCAACATTAAACACTTTTTCTGATGCCAAAGATTTTTGGATGTAGCTCTTCTTAACATCTCAGAAGTCTTGTGTAATTTTAAGGATCCTACATAATGCTGAAAGAAGGACTGCTTTTTATTTATAGCGGGAATTAAAGGAAGGTTGTGTTTCCAAGATGTTAAACATAAGTTCTATATTTTTCTTCTCTGCTCCCTAGAGAATAGAAGTTTTGAGTCCACATATACAGTCTTTTGGTTCTTATTTTGGCAGGAGGCAGCCCAAAAAACAAACAGTGTTCATCAGTTAGGTATTCCAAATTATAAAGTAAGGAAATGAAATCACTGCAGGAAAAGAAGATGTTTAATTTCTCAGAATAAATAACCAGTGGGAAACCATAATTCATGGCTGGTAGCTATACAGTAAAGAATGATTAGCCTGTTGAAATGTGGGACTAGTTTTACATCCAGATGATTCCACAGACTATAGATATAAATTTATTTCAAAAGAAAGGGATGGACATGGAAGGAGAATATGTATGGTTACCTGAACACCAATTTTATAACATAAGAATACAAATATAAAAATGAGATTGTACCATTACTTTGAAGTTCTAAAACAGTAATGGTAAATACAGAGAGCAAGGAGGAAACAAAACCCAGCAGAACAGCAGCAGTTGCTTCAGGTACTCCAAGAGAAGTTGGTTGCATTGGGCCATTGGTTAGGGAAAAGTACCAAAAAGCCACACACAACTGCTACTTGGAGAAGCTTATTTTAGAGAATAGAAGATGGGGGATTCGTTTTTAATTTTATCTGAAAAATCAATCCTATATGAGCTAGTTTGGGAACTAAATGTGCATGCAAGTTCAATATGCTTCCATAGTGAACATAATTCAAACTCAGAGCTAGTGATGTGGCACTCAAGGGACAGAGTTTAGTATTTTGAGATGCAAAAACAAGTTAGAAAGTGAACAAAATAGGCAGTGAAAACACCTACTATAATCATAGAATCTGGCTGTATACAATTCCCTGAAGAATGTAAGTACTGGATTCACTGCTGGCAAAAATGGATGCAGCTCCATTACAAGTAATGGAGTTGCTCCTACAGCTGCACGCATTTGGTTTCTAGAAAATGGAGTAGGCCTTATGCTCAAAATAAACAAATGATATGGAAAGAAGATGAAAAACAGTATGACTAGATGACAATGCCTAATTTAATATTTAGGGAATAAAAATACAAACTTCTGCATAGATGGAAACATTGTTTCTGCAAGTAATTGAAGTCATAGATTGCACTGCTTGTTGTTGCACTGCTTTTTCTAAGCAATTTGGCATAATTTGCACATCTAATATCTAAACACTAAACACCACCCATAAGTATAACTGTGTTGTACCTTAATACATGAGCAGTGTGAGAAGAAGTTAATACATATTTCCCCACTGCCTAACTTTTGACAAACTGGTCCAAATATTTAGAATGACATGGTGCTGTGGAGTTGATGTTAAAAAAAGCTTTGCAAAATGGCCTGATAGCTAGATATAGACATATATAAAAGACCTATATATATATATAATTTAAAGGATAATGCTTCCATTAGCTTTTGAGTCTTGGCAGGCAAATGGACATATATAATATGTTTGAGTAGTGTTGCATTCAACAAGCTAAACTAGTCTGAAACCTAATACCACTTTGGCAGTAAACTATAAGCTTTTTTTGAAGTGGTGTTTACCTGTGCAGTTCTCTAATTTACCTTCCAAGGAAAAAAAAGTTGTAAATGAACTTTTTATGTTTTCAACCTAAAGAGGAGATAAGTTCTGGGAATTAAAGCAAAGGGCTAGGAATTAATAATCCTAGGTTCTACTCTATCAGCTGCAGGTGAAGAGTTCACAGTTAATACTCTTTTTAAAAATTATTTTTGAGGATACACACTATGAATGAAGTGGGAACCATTTTAGTCAAACTTTTATTTTCTCAAGGCAAAACTTGGGTGAATGATGTTGCAACTAGAATAACTGCAAAAATTATTATGTATTCTCATTTGCATAATGTTCTGTGGGAAATAATATTTAATAGACTTAAAACCATTGCAAAATGAATTGGCCAGCATTTTCAGGTGAAAGTTCACATGATCACTTTCCAGCCAAGCTAGTTCTGGCTCTGTCATTGATTTTGTGTGCCTTGCAAAAGTCACTTAGGGTACTGTATTTAGTCAAATCCAAAATGAGAGGGTTCCCCCCCCCCAAAACCATGGGAGAAGATTCAAGTGCCTTGGGGGCTGGAGGCTGAACTCCAGCTTCATCCCTAGGCTTGGAGCCAAAGCAGGAGCTGAGCCACCTCCGACTCTGGGCCAGAGTGGTTCGTGAAATGAGGGAGGAGACTCGCATTTCGGGGAGCGTGGGGGAGATTGTGGTGGGGTACAAGGGAGAATGCAGGGGACACCTGCCTATGTAGTTCAAGGGAAGACCACACAGCTTGCCTCCCACTTAAGCCTTTGTCCCCTGCCCTCCACTTACCTCTTGCTCTGCTCCAACCCCAACGTGCAGAGGCCTAGAGTTGCTGCTGCTCCTTCTGTGTGGTCAGGTAGGGCTGAGGCCAGGACAAGGCCACTGCCACTGATGGGCCAAAGGGTGGGGAATAGGTAGCAGTGGAGAGCATGGGGTAGGGGCAGGAAGGAGAGGGAAGGCACAGGAGGCCAAGGAATGAGGGGGATAGGCAGCAGGAATATGGCACAGGCATAGGGATAGGGCAAATGGTGGCGGCAGAGGGGAAAGCACAGAGGGGTAAATAGCAGGAGGGACAGGAACAGGTGGAGAAAGAAAGGGGCAGGGAGAGCAAAGGGCATGGGGTGGGAAAGGGTCAGGGATCTAGCCTCTCTCCCCCACCACTGCTTTCCCCTCCACAGCTGTGGGGGATGAATTTAAGATGATCTTCCACTAATTTATACAGGGAAAAATTACATTTACTAGTGAACTGCCCATCAAGAATGATGGGGGTGGGGGCGCAGGGTTCCCACGAGCCAGGGGGGTGCGGGGAGAGGCATGCTCCGCCATCCCCTCCATGCCCCTCTGCCAGCACCTCACAGCTGGTCCCCTCTGCCAGCACCGCCTCCATCTCCAGGGCTGGAGGGAATGCCAAGGACAGAGTAGTACGGCAAAACACCATCATGACAGTGGGGATGGTGGGGACTGAGCAGGAAGATGCAGCGCTGCCCCCTGCCCCCTCTGTCCCCTCCATCCCCACTGTCATGGCAGTGCTCCACCATGCCAGTCTGTCCCTGCCATCCCCTCTGTCCCTCCTCCACTGGGGACGGAAGGGATGGAGCTGGTCCAAGGAGTAGGGATGGAGGGGGGGGGCAGGGGGGGAGGTGCAAAGCCAGAAGCGCTGACCTCAGGGCGCCCCACCCCCCATCCCTACTGTCATGGTGGTGTTCCGCCATGTGTGTCTGCGCAGAGCATTCTGATTGGTTGTTTCAGTAATCATTGTGATTGGCTGCCAAAACAACCAGAGTGCTCTAAGAGTGGTATGGACAGACAGACACAGGCAGATGGACTAAGCCCTTATATATAAAAACTCTTTATGTATAAACTCTAATTTTTGGGGGTGTCATGGATTTGAATAAATATTGTATGTGTGCTTTTAGTTCTCCCATATATAAAGGTGCCAATCTCACTTTCTGCCCATATATAAAGCAACTATTATTAAGTGGAGTTATGAACCTAATTGAGGCAAATGCTTGAGATTTGTGGATCAAAAGCACCATGTACAAAGAAAATGTGGCTATAAACAGAACCAAAGAACTGCAATTCTGTACTATAATTTTTCAGCATAACTGCTAAGAGGATTGACTCTATTAACATCACTAAATTTATATCTAAATAGGTCAAATCTTAAAGCGATTACAGCAGCAAATTTTTTTATAAGGAATATTTTTTGACTCAGTATTTCACTGCATTATTGCATTTTTACATCAGTATGTAAACTTATGTACAGGAAAGTCAAGAGAACTAATCACATCTGTAACATAATTTATAAATCCCCATAAAATTTAAGCAAAACAAAAGCTTTGGGACAATTATTTACTTAAACAAAGTTTCAGCTTATAAAAAAATGCAGTGGATGATCTTCTTAAGGCCATAACTCAGTTTCCAATATTAGTCACACAATTAAGATGGCTTTAGGGGCTCACATGCTAAATATGGCACTATATTAGCAAAGACTGAGTACAGAGCTATACAATGGCAGCAGGTCCTTCAAGGGAGGAATGCCAAGACCATCACTTTTCTGCTAACAAGCAGCACCTGTGAAATTTGGCTTCAGTTCTACCTACCTGGACCATACTTGCAGATGTAATTGTGCTTCATGTTGCATCGGTCATCATTCCACTGATAAAGATAAAGCCCCCCCAGGCCAGGGTTGGCAGTTGGTTGATGATACATCACAACACAAGCTTCACTTCCACAGGAAGGCTCATCTGTGTACCAATTTCTAGAAGTGAATACAGATAACAATGTTCAAATCTTGAAGGTAAATGGCACAAGTAAATGGATATAGACAGAAGTAGCAATTGTATCAATCTCAAATGATAGCAGTATAAGTTGTTATCTTGGTATAACACCTGTTATACAATGTAACCATTACAATGTAATCGTTAAGTTTGCATGGTTTTGTAGTGATCCTAGTTCTGTAGTGATACACGTGTAGTAAAATGGTTCCAGGTTTCATCCCATTTCATTCAGGATTAGTGTTACAGTGATTAAGCTAGTCTTGTACTGTATTGTTACAGGTTCATGCAGATCTAATAGTTACATCATAACTGATGCTGGCTCCCAAGTGGCAGCTCCTGCCCTGCTTTAACATAGTTATACGATAAATTTGTCTATACTATCATTCATATGTATGGAGAAATGACATCACCTAGTACAGGCTATCAGTAACTTAAAAAAAAATCTTTGATCCCTGAACTGTAGGTCAAGGAACATCTGAGTAGAAGTGACATCCCTCCACAATACTGCTTGCTTTCTCCACCCTTCTTCTCTTCCCAAACATGGTATGGGTTATAAAGGGGGAGTCATTGTGAACGGTCTGCAATTACTTACTCTCCTGTTAATCTTCTGGTTTGGAAGGCCAGAATTTGTTTGCCATTTCCAACCCTAACCTTACTCTAATCTAGCTCCACAAGGGTGGAAACCTGTGGAGGCCTTACAAAAGAGTTTCTGTGAGACTCCACTGAAAATACAAACAGCCACAGAGGCAGTGCCTCATTCTTCTGTCACCAACTGGGTGGGGGGGCGGTCATGGGGAGTCTTGCATGATTTCCTGAATTTGTTTTATTGATACAACAGGTGCAGTCTCTATATATAGGTATCATCAGCCTTACTGCTTTTATTTCTATATAAATTGTGGTATTTGACAAAAATGTAATATTGATATATCTTGATATTATAGCCAAGACTGTTTGTTTGTTTGTTTGTTTGTTTTGTAAGGCAATGATTAACTTAAGTGGTCCTTACCTATTCACCCTTAGAAGAGGTAATCACTGAGAATTGGTATTTGAAAGGGGTTTATTAATTCATCACCCCCTTCCCCCCAGTACATGTGCTCTAAGGTACAGTAGCCAGATTATGACCAGAAATTTAAAAGGACAAACTCAGGCATGAAGTAACACCATGAAATAGGAAGAACACTTTTCAGTGAAGAAAGACATACTATGTATTTAATTAGCAAGTCTCCATGTCTGAAAGGATGCACATATTCTCCTGGTTTTGAGACTAGGGAAATCTTGTAGTTGAAAAATATGCACCTTTCAGGAGCAGGGAATTACTGGAGTAGAACCTCCTTACAACCCAGTGGGTGATATATGTGAATAGCCAGAGAGGAAAATGTACTTGCTTAAAGAGCATGGCTTTTCTTTAGTCTCCACAGGTACAGGGGAGGATGAAGTCCCTCAGCCCTGAGGCTGAGTAAAGAAGCTGACAAGAGAACTTGCAGGAGGCCCAGATAGAAAGGTCAGAGGCAGGGTTTCCTTCTTAACCTGTTAAAGCTGGTTAGGGTCTCTGGTTGGTTTTAAGGTTCATGGTGAGAATGGGTTATTGTTCTGATGTTTTCTTTTGGCTGTTTATTCTCATATTTTTGTCTGTATCTCAACCATATGCTTACAAATTTATTTTGCATTTTCCATGTTTTTCATAATAAAGTTTTCTGTTATCTTCTTACCAACCACTTGTTGTCAGGGATGCTTGTGATTCCAGAATATTTGATCATACAGGTTTGCCTATTTTACGGAAATCGAATCCCTATTTTTGGAGTGTATGACCAGACAAGGATATGATCCTTCTGGCTGGCAAAATGCCATCTTTAAGTGTTGGCAAGACACAAGTGAAACAGACGGGTAGGGCTGAGGCACCACAGGACAAGGAGCTGGCCTCTGGCACACTTCATTTGGTTCTCAATGGCCAAGCAGCCAATGGCAAGGAAGGGATTGGGACAGAAGGGCACTCCAAAGGTGTGAAAGCATCCCAGAACTCTCTCTCAAAGGCATACCTAGGCTGCATCTGGGGCTGGAGTATATCACACCTTCCACAACTCCAAATCCAAATCTGTTAATGTAAGTTCATTCTGGCTGACACAATGCCTGGGGCATGTTTTTGGACAACATGTCTTTCTACTTCTGCTTACAACTCATTCATCCCAGTGGGTACTTCACATTGCATTTCCCTCTATAACGCCTTCACAAGAGGCAGATAAAAGACTTTTACCTGAATGGTGAAGTGCTTCCATCAGCCCATTGGTAGAGGTCAGGGCAAGCATTTGATGTAGCTTGCCCCTCTCCATTTCTCCACAGTCCAATCCAAAAATCACCATCAGAAATTCCAGAGCCTGACTTAGTGAGATTTTGTAACAAGTTTTCTATTAGTTTCTGTTCCACTTCACTTTCCAGGCTCAGAAGAGCTCCACCATCAATTTTACAGGCTTGACGGGCCTCCTGAAAGCCCACTCGTCTAGACACATCCTGGAAATACGCTATCTTGTAACAGGGATTCTTGAAATCACCATAACACACCTTTTGACCTAAAAAATATACGTATACGATTGTTAAGAGAATACAATGCACATCACTTCTAATATACAATTCAGCATAATTGCAGTGACAAAGAAAATGAACATTTTTTCTTCTAGCCACTGAATAAAAGTAATCATTTGTACTGGGAGAGTTGATGTTTTAATACAGCAGGTCTCCTATCCATCTACTGGGGTAGTATGGCCCAGTCCTACAAACCCTTGCAGATAAAACTGCCAACAAAGTCACTGAGTGGACCCATTAACACCTTTGCAGGTTTTTTTTTTTCTTCCTCTGCTTAAGGATTGTAAAATGGGGGGCTTTTCTTTTAAAGATGTTTCTAAAACCTATTTTATAGAAGGAGAGTTCTATTTCCATTAAGGTCGGAAACATAAACCCATTCCACTTTAACTTCAATGGAAACAGAATCGGGCTCTAAATTTTCATAAGCAAAAGGCAGTGATAAGTTTTTTGGTTTTGTTATCTAACACTGGATTGGATTTCCAAGGAACTGGAAATGCTGGTTCCAAACAGTCAGTATAATAAATGGAAACTACAGAGTAGCATACTCAGGTAAACATGCTGAAACTACTTTTAAACAAGTTTTCCCCCATTTAGAGTTAATAAATGGGGCACACATCAGCACAAACATATTAGTACATGCTATTTCATAATATTTTTCCACACACAAAGTTTAACTCTCTACTTTTGTTCTTTTTTTTTTTTTTGTCTTGTTCAACTATAAGTTCCCTGTGAAACAAAGCATCCAGTGGACTTTAATTCTCCTTTTCCATACACTGCTGTCATTCCATTAAGTTTTACTTAACTCCCATAAAGCTAAGTAAAGAATCGGGTCTAATACGATTCCTTTTGTTGCAGGTTGCAACTGTATACAGCATAATTGTTTCTGCCTGCTATTCCTCCCTGGCCCTCTCTACTTATGCTTCTGGGTGCAGGAAGGTGAGTTCCCACACTGCCACCACTGTCCCAGCTGCTCCCGCCTTGCTCCAGCAGGGGCTGCAGGGAATGGCTGTGCAGAGCCAGGCTAAGCCAGGGATAGCAGCAGTGGTGAGTTTCCCCTTCCTGCACCTACACCCAAACTAGCAGGGAATACCCAGGGGGACTGAGCAGGGAAGGGAAACCCACCTGCAGTCAGCACTATACTCAGCTGAGCCTGGCTCCCTGTGCAGCAGTCCCAGCTGGAGCAGGCAGAAGTAGCTCTGGGATTCCCTCTGTCCCTAGGTCACCTGGGGACAATAACAGTAGCAGACAGGTCTTCCCTTCCTGTGCTCAGAGGCCTAAGTAGAGAGGGTAAGGGAGAAATGTGGGGAGGGGGAAGGTGCTGCTGAGCACAGAAAGGAAGGCAGGGGATGCCAAAAAGGGGGGATTCTTACTTGATTCAGGGACTTTA